TGGAGTAATATTCGTACAAAAATCATATATATATTGTTGAGTTAATTTGACAAGATATTTTCAAAGTACATCGAAAAAAAAGAAAAAATATGGTATGGAAACCAAGGAAATGGGAGGAAAAGTTTGCCGAGTGCAGACACTCAGGAAAGATAAGTTTGACGAGTGCCGTGATCTGACACTCAGCAAACTTAGCTTTGCCAAGTGTCCTAGATTTGACACTCGGCAAACTCGGCACCTTATAAACTCGCCCGGCCGTCGCCCCCTCCCTCCCACTCTCCCTCGCGCCGCCCCTCCCTCTCTCCCTATCTACCCCGGCGCTGCCCCTCCCTCTGTCCCCTCCCTCCCCTCTCTCCCGGATCCGGCCGGTGGTAGCACCCCTCCCTTCCCTCCCTCCCGGATCCAGCGGCCGTGAGCAAGGAGGAGCCCGGATCTGGTGGCGCGGGTGCGGCCGAGGCGATACGGGTGGCGCAGGTGCGGCGGTGCTCCTCCTCGACGTCTGGGTCAACTCCGGCGGCGGGGAAGACCATATCCGACGTCATAGGCGTCAACTCCGATGTCACGGCGGCGGGGGAGGACGGATCCGGCATCACGGCGGTGGGTGAGGCTGGATCCGGCATCGGGTGACTAGATCCAACGGTGGGCGGTCGGATCCCGATGGTTCGGTGAGGATGTTGTCACCGGCGAGCAGCTACGACGTCATGGTGGTGGCGGGCGGCGTGGTGGTGGCGGCGGGTGGTGTGGTGGTGGCGGCCTGCTGGCTGTGGCGGCGGGGCGAGCCGCGGGTGGGCGGCGGTGGGTTTTTTTATATTTTTTGAAATAGTTTTTGCCGAGTGTCAGGTTTAGCACTCGGCAACGTCTTTGCCGAGTGCTCGACAAAAAACACTCGGCAAAGACAGCTTTTCCGAGTCTGTGTTTGCCGAGTGCCGTTTGCCGAATGGAACACTCGGCAAAGGCTTTGCCGAGTGTTTGTTTCCTTCGCCGTGTGCCGTGGGCACACGGCAAACCTGGGCATTCAGGTAGTGATTGTAAAGGCATTTTGGAGATATTGATTACATATACTCCATTACCTGAATATATTTGGAAACTATGCTGCATGTCATGAACAGGGGGAGTTTTTTTTTCACTATATATGCTGCCAATAACAGTACTCGATATATAGTCACTACATAATCTGTACTATATAGTCACCTAGAGTTTAAAATGTTTGCTTCAACTAGGTTCGTGCCCATGTGTTGCTACGAGACAACTAAATTTTTTTACTAAAAACACACGGATCGCACGATAAGATAACAATACTGTAAAATTAAATACCGATGTTATAGTGACATTTAATCCAAAAGGTAAAGGTCACGGAGAGCGCAGTGTCGCAAGCTCGCAAACTGTACTGTATAGAACTTTCCATGACGCAGCTAAAATAATATTTTATATCGGCAGAAAAAAAATCTCCGATGTCTTTTTTTTACGCCAAATAAATCCACGAATAAGTTTCGCCACATCTCCATACCATCCTGTGTAGTATATATGTAAATATTAGTGTCTGTCACATGAGTAATACTGCGTGTCTTAAAAAATCTCTCACAAAACATTAAAACAAAGTATGTTATACTCACCGTATAAATATGTGTGGCTTAGATCTATTCCACGCAGACATATGCTGTAAAATAAAGTATCCACTCAAGTGTCTGTGGCAAAATTGACCATCAGCAATATATAGATAATTAAATCATAGGTATTATTATTCCAAGCGATGGTGACTGATATTGGGTAATACGGTGACGACCTTACAGGTATTGAACGTACCATGTTTTTCATTTCAACAATTTGGTGTCGATTTTTCAAAATAAATGGAGGATCTGTATGCAGTCGCAAGAATGTCTATCGCTTCAGCTGCTTTTTTCCTGTTAGCTTTAGAACTCTCCGCAGTTTAATATATATATATATATATTAGATAAATGAAAAGTGAAGTAGCACTGAATTTGTGACAGTTCATAGGATCGAGTGAGTATATATACCTCATCAAAGTCTTTGTTAATTGTTCTTAGGAAGTGATCTGACAGGCTTCTCAGGTGTGGACATGGAAACCCGTTCAGAATGAAGAACTGCAAGCAGCAAGGAACGAGCAAGCACAATAGGTCAGCAGCTGACAATTCGCTATTCAGATAGGCTGAAGAACAAGAAGAAGCTAAGACGAAGCAGGGTCGTCACCTCGGTGGCATCAGAGATGGTCCCAAAGAAGATCGCCTTCCCGGCGGCGAGCAGGCAGAGGCCGTGGAAGAGGTCGAAGACGTCGCCGCTGGGCTGGTGCACGGCGGCGACGACCGTCATGCCGTCGCGAGCGGCGACGCGTGCGGTGTGGCTCATGACGTGGTAGGAGGCGGCGCTGTCGAGGCCGCTGGTGGGCTCGTCGAGGAAGAGCAGGCGCAGCCGCGTCAGCATCTCGATGCAGATCCTCAGCCGCTTCCGCTGCCCTCCTCTGATGCCCTTGGCGATCCGGCCGCCGATGCGCGTGTCTATGGCGTCAGCGAGCCCCATCTCCCGGATCACCCGCTCCGCGTGCGCCCGCTTCTCCGGGGCCGGCCGTATATATTGCTGTCCCGTGTTCCATTTGATATGGCCAGCCGTGTATGGGAGTGAAATGGAAAACAAGCAGGAAAAAGAAAAATGACACAACTATAACGACGGACAGACATAGGGTGATGGGAGTCAGGGGAGGTTGTTGTTAGCTACGGTCAGAGAGCTATTAAACCGGTCAGAGTGCTTCATTCATTCATTCTCGATTCTCGACCATGCTTGCATTGCATTGCATCGACTTGCAAAGATGCACATGGTACAGGATGCATGCATGCATGGCAGCAATCCTTGCTCTGCTGGCCACTCCGACGTACTCATGATGTTTAATCATAAAAAAATATTATTTAAAAAAAATCTTTAAATAATGTTATTTTTAATAATTAATTGCAAATTTTGAAGCAGTTATAAAAAAACTTGACATGTAGCAGGTTGTCGGCATCCCATAAGCCGATAGGTATACGTAAGCAGCTGTCCGAAACCAGATCCAGTCGGCACTTGCCGATATGTGCCCGTTGGCAGCAGGAACAGTAGATTTTGGAGTGCTACCTGTCGGCCACCCACGGGCCGACTGGACCTGGTTTAAAGTTGATTAAAAAACGTGCGGGAACAAATCTCCTGTACTCACGTTTAAAGTTGATTAAAAAACTAATATCTTATTGGTCAGATATATGTACAGAAAAATATTCTTCAAGAAATTAAAAACGTACGGGAATAAATCTCATGTACTCAGGATTACATCTGATTAAAAAACTAATATCTGATTGGTTAGATATTAATAAAATATCAGGTCAACAATGCCGACCACATCCACGTTAGATAGTCTATTAATTAAAAATCAAAAATCAAAAATCAAATGGAAGGTTAATCTATTAGTAAAGAGCTTTGTTACGGTGCTTGGGAGGAATAGGTGGTTCCTCTCGTTAAAATCATTTGCACCATGTGTTAATTACGAATTATAATTAAGGACTGTTCAATACTTTTCCTAATATATACAGATTCTCAACTCCCTAACTCCGATTCCACGACCTGCTCCGTGGTTCGCGAGATCTATTTCGTGGGCATCGTCTCGGCGTCTCGCCACTATATATTCGGGGAACTACACATGGTGTCAAATCGGTTCACGATGACAACTAGCTTTTGTAGTTTGCCAAAAATATCTGAAATGGTGTACCCGATCACAAAAAAAAATTTGAAATGGTTGCGTAACACGAGAAGTGATCTAGGATGGCAGCGTAACACCAAAAGTGATCTAGGATGGTTTAGGAATTTTCCACGTATCTATGGTTCCGTTTAGCACAACTCATTTTTGTTTCAGCTCCACGAGCAGCTTTCTTAGTACGGGCTCCCTACTCCACTCCCCCTACTTTTTTCCTGTCTGTCTTCTCCACACGACTTCCTTTGCTCGAACAAAGTACTGGCGGCGCGACTCTCTCCGACGAGGCGGGCCTCACTGGCTTGGGCACGGCCGGCCTCCAGGGGCATTGGCCTCACCGGCGCGAGCGCGGCCATGGGTAGCCTCCCCGGTGCGGGCACGGCCGGCCTTCACAGCGCGGGCGCGATCTGCTCCCCGACGACTCCCGTCCCCGCGTGAACCTCCTCCGGCCACTTCTCCGGCGTCGGCCTACTCCCCATGCTCCTCCGGCCACTTCCCCAACGGCGGCCTGCTTCCCATGGCCGAGCTCGTCAATGCCGACAAGGAAGAGGATGACATGTGGGTCCCACGATGGTTTGAATAAATTTGGGAGGCCTGTTTAGGTAGTATTGCTGGAGTTGGAAGTAGAAAATAGATAGTATCAAAATAGATAGCTACCCAAACAGGCAAGTAGAGGTCTGATTTGGTTAGTATCAAAACATGTAGCAAGCCAAACAGATCGGTCAATATATTGCTCTTGGATCGATGAGGTACGTTTTTTTATTGATATTGGATAATACAGTGACGACCTTACAGGTATTGAACGTACCATGTTTTTCATTTCAACAATTTGGTGTCGTTTTTTCAAAATAACTGGAGGATCTGTATGAAGTCGCAAGAATGTGTATCGCTTCAGCTGCTGTTTTCCTGTTACCTGTAAGCTTTAGAACTCTCCACAGTTTAATATATACATACATATGTATATATATATATATATATATATATATATATATATATATATATATATATATATATATATATATATATATATATATATATATATATATATATATATATATATATATATATATTAGATAAATGAAAAGTGAAGTAGCACCGAATTTGTGACAGTTCATAGGATCGAGTGAGTATATATACCTCATCAAAGTCTTTGTTAATTGTTCTTAGGAAGTGATCTGACAGGCTTCTCAGGTGTGGACATGGAAACCCGTTCAGAATGAAGAACTGCAAGCAGCAAGGAACGAGCAAGCACAATAGGTCAGCAGCTGACAATTCGCTATTCAGATAGGCTGAAGAAGAAGAAGAAGCTAAGACGAAGCAGGGTCGTCACCTCGGTGGCATCAGAGATGGTCCCAAAGAAGATCGCCTTCCCGGCGGCGAGCAGGCAGAGGCCGTGGAAGAGGTCGAAGACGTCGCCGCTGGGCTGGTGCACGGCGGCGACGACCGTCATGCCGTCGCGAGCGGCGACGCGTGCGGTGTGGCTCATGACGTGGTAGGAGGCGGTGCTGTCGAGGCCGCTGGTGGGCTCGTCGAGGAAGAGCAGGCGCAGCCGCGTCAGCATCTCGATGCAGATCCTCAGCCGCTTCCGCTGCCCGCTGCTGATGCCCTTGGCGATCCGGCCGCCGATGCGCGTATCTATGGCGTCAGCGAGCCCCATCTCCCGGATCACCCGCTCCGCGTGCGCCCGCTTCTCCGGGGCCGACTGTATATATTGCTGTCCCGTGTTCCATTTGATATGGCCAGCCGTGTATGGGAGTGAAATGGAAAACAAGCAGGAAAAAGAAAAATGACACAACTATAACGACGGACAGACATAGGGTGATGGGAGTCTGGGGAGGTTGTTGTTAGCTACGGTCAGAGAGCTATTAAACCGGTCAGAGTGCTTCATTCATTCATTCTCGATTCTCGACCATGCTTGCATTGCATTGCATCGACTTGCAAAGATGCACATGGTACAGGATGCATGGATGCATGGCGGCAGTCCTTGCTCTGCTGGCCACTCCGACAAGGCGGCCACGATACGTACTCATGGTGTTTAATCATAAAAAAATATTATTTAAAAAAAATTCTTTAAATAATATTTTTTAATAATTAATTGCAAATTTAAAAGCTGTTATAAAAAAACTTGACATGTAGCAGTGTGTGGGCAGCCCATAAGCCGATAGGTATACGTAAGCAGCGGACGGCGGCCGAAACCAGATCCAGTCGGCACTTGCCGATAGGTGCCAATGGGCAGCAGCAACAGTAGATTTTTGGTGTGCTACCGTGCTTTGTTACCGTGCTTGGGAGGAATAGGTGGTTCCTCTCGTTAAAATCATTTGCAGCAGGTGTTAATTATGAATTATAATTAAGGACAGTTCAGTACTTTTCCTAATATATACAGATTCTCAACTCCCTAACCCCGATTCCACGAGCTGCTCCGTGGTTCGCGAGATCTATTTCGTGGGCATCGTCTCGGCATCTCACCACTATATATTCTGGAAACTACACATGGTGTCAAATCGGTTCACGATGACAACTAGCTTTTGTTGTTTGCCAAAAATATCTGAAATGGTGTACCCGATCACAAAAAAAAATATTTGAAACGGTTGCGTAACACGAGAAGTAATCTAGGATGGCAGCGTGACCCAAAAGTGATCTAGGATGGTTTAGGAATTTTTCACGTATCTATGGTCCCGTTTAGGACAACTCATTTTTGTTTCAGCTCCACGAGCAGCTTTCTTAGTACGGGTTCCCTACTCCAGTTGCTGACAGGCTGTTTTTAGGTGTGTAGACGTAGGCCTATCGGCTGGTGAGATGCCGACAGGATTGTATATGTCAATTATTTTTATAACAGCTTCTAATTATGTATTTAATCACAAAAAATATTATTAAAAAAATGGCGCGGACCACGAGCTTGCCTTCTGCCGATGGGAAAGGATGTCGTGGATCTTTGTACGTGATTGGATTGTAAGGGGAGATCACGTGATTGGAGGAGGAGGTCGCGCACGCCTGCGAAGCGAGCGGCGAGCGAGCATCACACGTGGCCGGGAAAAATCATCCGGTCCCAGGTTTTCGCACGTCTATGGTAGACGGACGACCCAAAATAAATGTCGCACCAAAAAGTATCCACGCTTTGTTCTTTTTAGTTGCGAGAGACTTGAGCAGTTGAGCCGCTTGCCTATGGGGGATTCTCGATGCCATGCTGCGGGAGAAAGCTTACTATAAGTTTAGACCCAGCTCACTACAGTTGCTTACACTGATCACTTCGTAAGTAATGAGGACACTTACCTCATTGCCCTGATCCAGGACCAACTATGAAATAGGGCTAACATCTCCACCTTGCTCAGGTCGCCCCTCCAATTCAAGCCTCGGCTTTCCTTCATCACCCTGCCTAGCTTCATCTTGACTCATCGTGGACTGCTGGCAACGGTGAGAGGCAAAACTACAAGACTTTTTAAAAAAGGCACATGTAGTTATTCATAACCTAATGACTGACATTTGAAGTTTGATCAAAGGCACATGTTTGTTTATCAAATACTAGTACTTGTCATATAACCATATATGGTATACTGGACAACAGCTAACAAATTTGATGGATTATAATCATGAAATATTAGGACAGCTAAGATACGTTCCCTACAACAGTTGTATGCAACATTAGGTTATCTGAAATGGTGTACCCGATCACAAAAAAAAAAATTTGAAATGGTTGCGTAACACGAGAAGTGATCTAGGATGGCAGCGTAACACCAAAAGTGATCTAGGATGGTTTAGGAATTTTCCACGTATCTATGGTTCCGTTTAGCACAACTCATTTTTGGTGACAGGCTGTTTTTAGGCGTGCAGACGTAGGCCTATCGGCTGGTGAGATGCCGACAGGATTGTATATGTCAATTATTTTTATAACAGCTTCTAATTCTGTATTTAATCACAAAAAATATTATTAAAAAAATGGCGCGGACCACGAGCTTGCCTTCTGCCGATGGGAAAGGATGTCGTGGATCTTTGTACGTGATTGGATTGTAAGGGGAGATCACGTGATTGGAGGAGGAGGTCGCGCACGCCTGCGAAGCGAGCGGCGAGCGAGCATCACACGTGGCCGGGAAAAATCATCCGGTCCCAGGTTTTCTCACGTCTACGGTAGACGGACGACCCAAAATAAATGTCGCACCAAAAAGTATCCACGCTTTGTTCTTTTTAGTTGCGAGAGACTTGAGCAGTTGAGCCGCTTGCCTATGGGGGATTCTCGATGCCATGCTGCGGGAGAAAGCTTACTATAAGTTTAGACCCAGCTCACTACAGTTGCTTACACTGATCACTTCGTAAGTAATGAGGACACTTACCTCATTGCCCTGATCCAGGACCAACTATGAAATATGGCTAACATCTCCACCTTGCTCAGGTCGCCCCTCCAATTCAAGCCTCGGCTTTCCTTCATCACCCTGCCTAGCTTCATCTTGACTCATCGTGGACTGCTGGCAACGGTGAGAGGCAAAACTACAAGACTTTTTAAAAAAGGCACATGTAGTTATTCATAACCTAATGACTGACATTTGAAGTTTGATCAAAGGCACATGTCTGTTTATCAAATACTAGTACTTGTCATATAACCATATATGGTATACTGGACAACAGCTAACAAATTTGATGGATTATAATCATGAAATATTAGGACAGCTAAGATACGTTCCCTACAACAGTTGTATGCAACATTCGTTCACATGGCTAGTACCAAAGTTATAGTGGCCGACCAAAAATACAACTTTGTAGTTGAGAAGTTTTTCATTTGAAGTTGTTTGGAGTCTCAAATATTTGTTTCAATTTCACATATTTTGAGATTAAAATTTCGATCTATCTAGGTGACATTAAGTTGTTTTGCCCTCCCCTGTCAACTGAATTTTTTCATGTACTTACAATGTCTTCTATCTATATTTACACTGGATTATTACTATATTTACAATGATTTCTTTAGTGTCATTTATTGAACACAGTGGTGTAATTTGGGATAATACAAATATATGCTAAAATTTTCAAAAAAAAATACAAATTATTTCTATGAATTGTAGATATCAGAGAAATATATGTCAATTTTTTCACAAATTTCAGAAAAAATACAAATTGTTCCCAAACTATGGTGGGACCCACACTTCCAACCTTATCCCTTCCCCTTCCCTTCTCTTTGGTTCCTTCCATGAGCCTTCCCAGCCCAGATGCCGTAGCGGCCTTCCCAGCCACGCCGCGCGTGGCCTTCCCAGCTCCGGCGCGACGACGCCCCTCTCCTTCCCCACCCCGACGGCCTCACGGCGACGCCCCTGCTCCTTCCTGGCGTGGCGGCGCCCCTACTTCGCCTTCCCTACCCAAACGCCAGCGGTGCCTCTGCTCCTCCATGGCATGGCGCGGTGGCGCCCCTGCCTCTCCTGCCCTGCCCAGGCGGCCCCCTGCTGGCCGTCCACGCAAGATCAGATGGCTCAAAAATCAATTGATGGGAGGGGCCAAATCAACTGCTTGAGGTTTAGCAATTCTGTAAAATTTTTGATATATACAAACAACAATCTCAGATTGAGACACATCCTATACCAAAGCTATAGTACTTGACAATATTTAAAACTTTGTAGTTGAAACTATTTTCATTTGAAGTCATCTAGGGGCTGAAACATTCAATAAAACATTACGAGATGTTGATAAAAAGGTAGATGTCCATATATACTCACAAATGAGTGTGTAGTCTAGTGATAGGGAAGTGCTCTATGTGCTCCAGGCCTAATGGTCTCCTAAAACCATTAATATAGGCGGTCCTCATAAGGTACTAGGTGCTCATCTCAGTTTATCGATCTACAGAGGTGAGCATGTGACCTCCTTTGAAAATGGCCGATTAATAGTGACCATTTGCTAGAGGCGGTCGTGCTACCTGCCTCCAAAAATGGAGCTTGATTTTCTCTGAACATGCTTTCTTTAGTCCGTGCATAATCTTTTTTTACCATGGCTCGAGTAAGTTTGAATATTAAAGCAAGACCATAACAAAACTACATAGCCAATTTCACTCTAATAGGGAAGGCTAAACCTCCGAGAACCTATAAGGAACGATTTAACCCCGAGAATCTCGAAGGACGAGCACTACTGGAAACAGTAAATATGCTGAGTGTTTTTTGGTTTGCCGAGTGCATTCCATTGGGCACTCGGCAAAGAGGTGATTTGCAGAGTGTAGTGAAGAAGACACTCGGCATACATTTTGCACTCGGTAAAAAACCCGACTTGCCGAGTGTAGTATATCAGACACTCGGCAAACAACAAGACGACACTCGGCAATGAATTGACACTCGGCAAAATACTATCACGTGACCGGCAGGTGCGATGGTCGTCTGACGGCGTGCCGGCTGTTAGCAAAAGTGCTACTTTGTCGAGTGTTTTTCCCCAACACTCGGCAAATTAATCATTTTACCGAGTGTTTTGTGTTGGCTCTCGGCAAAGTCTAAACTATTTTTCCCTCTTCTGCCCTTGAAATTTTTTCTACTCCCTACATACAACATGTACTCCATGTTAAGATTTGGTATATTTCTGGAACTGTTTGCTATATTTAATTAATTTATTGCATTTCAAGGAATTTTTTGGTGTAAGTCAAATTTAAATTACAAGTGATTCAAATAATAGAATAAAATGAGTAAAAAAATGATATTC